TTGGCCTCCTAACAATATAAAAGCTCAAACAAAGTTAAACGTGTACTAGTAATAACTTGTTTATATATGGTAGTATTTGTGTGTTAACTTACATCATTCATTGTCGTATAACTCTTCCCAATCCAATACCCCCATCCTCCTCCAGGTAATAGCCCTAGGAATATCATTTGAATTTTTTATCGCATATGTCAGCATGCTGGGAAAAGCCTCAAATATCCAAATCTACAAACAATATAATACACAAACATCAGTAATTTTTAAATAATTAATTATAAATTTGGAAACATTATATAGAAATTCTTACCTTAAAGGCCTAAATAAAGCCTGCCAAAGTGTATTTAGAACCATCGCCCCGCAAACTTTTTTGGTCCTCAAAGACAGACGACAACTTCTTCCAGGTAGCTTTCCATAGATATGAATCCCATGGAAACAGGTTCCATGCATTTAGGTCATCTACCAATAATATTAGGTCCTCAGAAATTGGTTGTCTGCCCTCTTTGCCTAAAAAGCCGGCATGCAAAAGTAATAAATGACATACTCAAACAACATCATGGTCATCCATCCAAGTAAAACCATCTTTAATAAATGGCATACTCGGACACAATGAAGTAAACTCGACTTCGACTTTTCCAGTTTAGGAAAAACCCAAGATAACCATGATGGGTGGGAGATATGACTAGTGTATCGGGTTACTTCATCGTGTCCGAAGCGTAGACCAATGATTAAGCAAAACTCCTCCCGCCCAAAACAAGTATACACCGGAGGAAAATGAAACCATATCTCTTCATCACCACGTTGTATCCTCTCGGGTAGATCGTTAGTCATGGTCTGAAGAAACAAATCTGTCAACATAGCATCTCCACCCGGATGTTGTACTTTCAGCCATGGCCCGAAGCAAGTATCCTCAAACAATTTTCTTTGTAGAGGTGTAAGCGTCGACGCAATTTTAGTGGCTAGGCTTAATTTATTCCTTAAGGTCAATTGAGCCGAAAAAAATTTAAACAAAAACAATAAACATACCAAGTTAGATATACCAAAAACTACAAATTATACACTATAAACAGACACGATATTAAACAGTGAAAACAAAGCCAAATATGTTTCAAACTAGCACGGTATTCACCCAAGTCATTATTCCATCATAGTTCACAAAATGCATCAGATAACATTCTAGAGGTAAGCACTTATATAAACATTTAAAAGGACAACATATAGGTTTAGTGCAGGTTCAATGACAACATAAAGAGTAGTAGTTTATTCTTGAAACTTAAATTCGCAACACTGTGAAGTTAGTATTTGTCTTTATTTTTTGGTTGAAGTAATGCAATTCATTCAAGTTTCAATTTGCAGAATAAGAGTAGTTTCTGAAACTTGAATTCGCAACGCGAAAATGAAAATCGCAACGCGAAACTAAAATCGCGTTGCGATTTTGGTGTTGCGATTTTCATTTTTGCGTTGCGAATTTAAGTTTCAAAAACTATTCTTCTGCAAATTGAAACTTGAATGTATTGCATTTCTTCAACAAAAAGACAAAACAAAGACAAATACTAATTTTACAGTGTTAAAGACTAAACAGTTTAACAGTATTGACAGCAACCGAATGAATTTACTAAGCAATCCCAATGAAATGGTTAATCTATATATATTGAAATTACCAGTAAATTTATCATCAATATAAGAAAAATCTAATAATATTACAAAAATTTCAAAATAAAAATAAGAGATTAAAAAACTAACACTCGGTGGTTGATTTTCTATTTATGACCGTGAATGGTTGTGAGGGTTGCTCTGAGAGATGGAGATAGACGGATTTCGCCAGAGATGGGGACGGATGTCGTCGTAGAGAGTGAGAGATGGAGATGTGACTGAGTTGTGATTTAGGGTTTTAGGTTATGATTTACGATAATATTGTTTACATTTGTGTTGCGAAATTAATATTATGTTTCGAATTCAAAAATAAAATTTGCGTTGCGAAAATAAACGCGCTTTACGAATTTGACTTATGTGTTGCGAATTTGACTTTTGTGTTGCGATTTAAAAATTCGCATTGCGAATTTGGAATCTGGGTTGCGAAATTGGAGTTCGCGTTGCAAATTTGTTGATCATTTTCATAAATCTAAAAAAAATTGGTTAAAATCGTATAGTATAAGGTATTTTCGGTCACTGAGATTATTTTCTCTAATAATAATAATAATAAAGTGTAGTGAAAGATTCCCACGTTTTATTTAGGAAAGATGGACTGTTCCCACGTTTTATTTTTCTCTATTTTAATTTCCAACCAATGAACAAGGTCAATTAAAAAAATCGTTGGCCACCTATTGATACCATTACTGGCATAATTACAGCACCTAACACATTAATTTTTGTTACCGACAGTCGGATAAAATCGAGTTGGATCACGAGTTAAACATTTTTCATTATTATTATTATATTCAAGTTTAGGTTGGATATAGTTATAGTCGAAAGCTTATTTCATTAGTTAGTATTATATATATTTAATTATATTTATTAATTTATAATTTAAAATTATAATTAAATTTATTAAGTGATTTTAATAGTTGAAGGTATTGTTATTCTTTTATAAGTCTTGAGTTCAAGTGTTTCTGCAAACGTGTATATGCTATCAAACAAATGCATTTGTCCACTTTTGTAATATTTCTATTTTTTTAAGGTTGAATCTAACATTACATCTTTAAATCTAAATAACATTTATTTAGTTATCATATTGATCTATCTATATTTTATACAATCAAATTTAATATTGACAAATGTTTATGATTATCGAAAATAAGTTACGATTAAATTGTAGAAATATCAAATTACCAGTAAGATATTGTTGATATATGTATTTCCTTATGTTATTGTCAATGATGTTATTTTTATTTTATTTTTGTATTTTATTTTTATATGATTAATTTGTGTACTTCAATGAGTTTAGAAGAGATGTTCGGTTTATATGATCGTTTTGTTTTCATTTTTTTACTTTTTTATATTATTTAACATTTCTTCTTTATTTAATAAAACTAATTTTTATTATTAACTATAATTGAAATTAAAAATATTTTTCTATTATACAACAAACAAAACCCTGTCTCTTTCACCCATATTTAGAAGTTTTGTCCTTGATGAAAATATATGAGAGTGGGGCGTAGGGCTGTTAGTGACCTTAGACCCTAATAAAGAAAACCAGCCTATATACCCTTTATTTTATTTATAAATAAACTACAAGGGTGACATGATCATCCAATTATTTAAATGGTTTAATCTAACAATTGACTGTTAATTTTTAACAGATGTGATAATATGACAATTAATAAAATTCACATAATTATATATTTAGTGTTTAATATTTACACATTCTATCAATTTAGTCACTATTTTAATTCATTCAAAAAAAATTAATCCTTCAATCTGGAAGTGTCATGTGTCACTATATGATTGTAGGGTGAATTTAATTAATTTTAATATTTTAATTAAATATAATTTTCAATCAATCAATCAAGTAGTGGCAAGTGTCACCACTTACGTAAGTAAAAAGATTTTGGAATAAAAACTAAACTTAAGGGGGTGTTTGGTTCAAGGATTGTGGGATTCTCATGTGATGGAAATCTCACATTCCCATGTTTGGTTGGCTGAGAATCTCATTCTCAGTAATGTTTTATTACCAATAGTAAATTTTTTGGGGCATATTACCAGGAATGTCATTACCTCCCTTCCCTTAGGTATTGTAACATTACCGGCATTTTGGACTAAAATGCCCTTAAATTATTATTTTTTTTCAAAAATATAATTCTTCTGTCATTGAATAATAAAAATTCTACGAAGGTTAAATTACAAATTTATCCTTAAATTATTTTAGATTTACAAAAAAAGTCTATAATTAAAATTTTATATGAAGTTCAGAGGTTAAAAAAACTTTTTACCCTTTCATTAAACCTTTTTATATTTTTAATTTTGTAAAAAAATTATATAAATATTATGAATTTAATTTTTTAAAGAAAATATATAAATATTTTACAATTTGTAATATTATACAAATATATAATAAGGATAATTTGGTCAAATATACATTCCAATAATCTTTTATTCCTTTAACCAAACACAGTAATCTTACATTCCTGCTAAACCAACCAAACACAAAATACAACATTCCCAGTAATCCTATTCCCTGATAATCTTTTATTCCCACTGATAATCTTACATTCCGTGAATCAAACGCAGCCCTAAGAGGTTATGAACCAGTGACCCCTTGGCTCAATGGATATGGCTTTGACACTGGGTTAGGCCATTCAATTGGTTTTTAGTTACACAATGTTATATATATGTTGTGTTTAATATTATTTCATATATATAATATAAAATAATTTTAAAAAAATCAGTGTAACTTACTTGTCTGCCCAATAAAAAAAATCACAAGAACGTTAAAAATCAGTGTAAACTACTTATTTAGCCGCTCATTTATTTTTATGGCTTTATTTTGTCATTTAATCATTTTTTTTAAAATCATGTCTAATGTTACATTTTGATTTTATTTTGATAACTCGTCGTTAAAAAATTAACGGTGATGCTAACATGTCACCATAAGGTGTTGTCATATCATCATATTGAACAAAATTAAAAGATCTGTCACATCAATAGTTCTATTTATTTTTTAACTGTGGATGAAAAAAACATAATAAAAATGTAATGTTAGATATATATATTTTTTAAAAATAGTTAAATAACTAAAACATAACCATAATAATAGGTGAATGACTAAATATGTAGTTTACCCTGAAAATTATCATAGGCAAATATCACTCCTCTTTTCCTATAAAGTGATATTCCCATTCAAAAGAGATATAATTATAATTAAATATAGAAAATGAAAAAAAATAATAGCTGTAATTCAGGATTTAGCTATGTATTTGTTTTAATAACAAAAGATAGGGCGTCCCTGCCTATAAATAAAGTGAAATCTTGAAGTGACATTTGCATAAAATCATTTTCTTCCTTTGTTTTTCAAGAAATGAAGGCTTCTCGTTGCTTTTCAATGTCCCTATTTCTTTTAATTGTTCTAATCTCATTTCCATGGCCAAATTCAGCAAATTCACATGTGAATGATTTTCTGGATTGCCTTCATTCATTTCATCCCAAAGACACAGTTTCAATCTCCAAGGTGATTTACACCCACAATAATGCTTCTTATTCGTCTGTGTTGAACTCTACCATTCAAAACCTCAGGTTCTCAACTCCAACAACCCCAAAACCTCTGGTCATTGTAGCACCATTGACAACTTCTCATATTCAAGCAACAATCCATTGTTCTAGAATCCATGGCTTCCAGATTCGAATCCGAAGCGGCGGCCATGATTTCGAAGGCCTTTCGTATGTCTCCCGAGTACCATTTATTATTCTCGATATGTTTAATTTGCGAACAGTTGACATCGATGTGGAAAAAAAGGTTGCATGGGTTCAGTCCGGTGCGATTCAAGGTGAATTTTACTATGAACTTGCTAAAATGAGTAGAACCCTCGCCTTTCCTGCTGGTATTTGTCACACAGTGGGGATTGGTGGGTACTTAAGTGGAGGAGGATACGGTTTATTGCTTCGGAAATATGGAATTGCAGACGATAACGTAATCGATGCTGTGATTATTGATGTTAAGGGAAGGATTCTCAACAGAAAATCGATGGGAGAAGATTTGTTTTGGGCCATTCGAGGCGGTGGAGGTGGGAGCTTTGGAGTCGTACTTTCATGGAAACTAAAGCTCGTTTCGGTTCCGGAAACAGTGACGGTTTACAACATCAGAAAAACCCTGGAACAAAACTTGACCGAATTTGTTCATCAATGGCAATACGTAGCCCCCAAGCTTCCCGGTGATGTATTCTCAGTTGTTTCAATGAGAAAGGTGAACCAAAACGGAAAACAAACTATTCTAGCTTCCTTCAGTTCTTCTTTTCTCGGAAAACCTAATGAACTGATTCCATTGATGAAAGCTCGATTCCCAGAACTGGGGTTGAAGAAGGAAGACTGCATTGAAATGAGTTGGGTCGAATCACTTCTTTTTTTCGGCCAGATCCGAAACGAATCCATTGAAGTTCTGCTGGACAGGAGTTATAAATCACCTCTCAGTGGTCCCTCATTCAAATCGAAACTAGATTATGTCAAAAACCCTATTCCAGAATCTGGTTTGAAAAAGATTTGGCCGAAGCTTTTGGAAGAAGATGCAGAAACAGCAGTGATGGCTTTCGTTGCTTATGGAGGGAAAATGGATGAAGTTCCAGAATCTTCAACGGCATTTCCACACAGAAAAGGGAACTTATTCCATATTGCTTACACAGTGGGATGGAATGGAGAAGAGAACGTGAAATCACAAAGGTACATGAACTGGATCAGAAATTTTTACAGTTTCATGGGGGAATTTGCTTCGAAATCTCCACGTGAAGCATACGTTGGTTACAGAGATAATGACATTGGAACTAACGACAAAGATACAAGTTATGGGAAAGCACGTGTTTGGGGTCGGAAATATTTTAAGAATAATTTTGACAAATTAGTCCATGTGAAGATGATGATTGATCCACACAATTTTTTCAAGCACGAACAAAGCATCCCTTCAAGTTTTACCGGAATCCAAGAAAAAGGTGTTATTATTACCGGCGGAAGATTTTAAGAACAAGATTTGGGTGTTTTATGAGACTTGTGTTCTTTCAATGTGTTCTGTGGTTGTAATGATGATTTGTTTCGTTCAGTTTTCACTTTGAGATGCCATTTCAATTTGTTTTTGTAGTTTTCTGCTTCCCCCCCCATACATATGAATAAACATAAGATTGATTCATATTAATGTAAATATATATATATAATTCCATAAGTATTAATATTTTCTAATTATTTAATTTAACATTTATATTTTGTGAACCCATCAAGTAATCTCACTTTCCGTGGGTAAATAGAGTGTTTGAGATAATGATTTCTATTAGCTGTGTCTATCAAATGTGTGAGAGATCATTTAGTCAAAAAAATTTATCAACAGATATTACTATTATAATCCCGCTTGTGTAATGATTATGTTAAAAGCAAATGTCAAATTATTTGATTTTTTTTTCAGAAGTAAGATGTACAGTTAATAAAGAGCATTCCACCAGAAGTAAGATCATCAAGTATGATGCATGTTTTCTTTTTTTATGTTATTATAATTAAAACTTTTACAATTTATTGATCAAAACGAAATAATCTCTAAAATTTAATAACTAATAATATAGTTTGTCCTTAGAATAGGTCTATTATTGCACGCTTCTACCAACCCTATAAAAAAAACTGACAACCACAACAGTACCCTCAGCAGCACGCTTTCACCTATATATATATATATATATTAGGGTAAACTATGCATTTAGTACTTGAATTATTAGTTTTGATCTATTTTAGTATTTAAACTTTTAATATTTTTAAAATCATATCTAAAGTTTAGTTTTTATTTTATTTTAGTATCCGCTGTTAAAAACTTAATGTGTTTAGTACATAAACTATTAGTTTAGGTCCGTTTTAGTACATAAACTTTCAGTTTTTTTGAAACTTAACATTAAATTTTTAACGGGTACTAAAATGAAACAAAAATAAACTTTAGGTATGATTTTGAAAAATTTAAAATTTAGATATTAAAACTGATCAAAACTTATAGTTCAAGTACAAAGAACATAGTCTACCCAAAAAACCTACCCAATTTCCTTATTCAAATCCTAAACCCATAAATTCAAAAAAAAAACCTAAACCCATTTAGGTGTGTCGGTGTATAAAAAAATGGACTTAAATATTTATATTAGAATTAGAATTTGTTTTATTATCTGTCTAGAATGAATAGTTATTTTATTGTCTGTCTAGAAGGAATAATTGTTTTTTTCACAATCAGGTGGTTCTTAGGATCACAATTTGTATAATATGTAGAATACATCCCTAAAAATACGTTTGAAAAATTAATAACATTAACCTTTTTTTAACTATCGATTTTTTTATCAATTCAAATCAAATAATATAAAAAATGAATATGTTAAATTAACATCAACTATTTTGTTTCTAATACTAGCATCGGAAAATTCTATAACGCTCGACGTGCACCGATGAGAACCATTAATTTAATTTATAAAAATTTAAATTATAAAGAACTCAATGTATAATTATAAATTAGTTAAAAAATTAAAGGTAAATTATTTAAAATAAAGGATAAACTATACTAGTAACCACATAACTATTGCTCCTTTTCATTTTGACGGTCATTTTTGAAATTTTGTCAATCAGGTCACTCAACTATTTAAATGCATTCACTTGCCGTTAATATTTAACGTAGGTCGTAGAAACTGAAGCGATAGTTAAAATATTTAGCATAATTACACATTTGGTCACTGTTACTTATATATTCTATTAATTTGGCCTAATTTTAATTTATTAAAATTAAATATTATATAAATTTATTAGATATATTTATAATTTTATTTTTTATAAAAGTATTTTGAGAATAAAATATTGATTAAAGTGTAAAAAAATTAAAGAATTGATTTTAGGATATAATTTAAAAAAGAGAATTCCAATAAAAATTCAACAGTCGGTAGATGAGACTGCACTATTCTTAATATCTCGAATTAGGGGTTGTTTGTTTACTGCTGAATGCGGAACCGTTCAGCATTCAGCGTGTTTGATTCTCACCTCTGAATGAAGATTGTGCTGAATGATTCAACATTAAAGTACATTTTGAATGATTCATAACCATTATCAAACAACATGTCACATTCAGAGCTAATTCATACAGAGCTAATTCATACAAAGCCTTTAAATCATTCAGGCTATTGAATCATTTAACGCTTAATCATTCTGATTTAATCAAACAACCCCTTAGTATCTTCCGATGATGAGCTTCCCTTATTATTCAAACTTCTATAGCATGAGGGTGAGAATGAGGTTGTAATTTGGGGTTTTGAGTTTGGTATATGATTTGAGATATGATGTAGGGTTTAAGTCTAAATTTTAAGGGTGTAATTTATGATTTTTAAATTTATTTTTTATTGTAATCTTATGTGATATTAATATACTAATAAAATATATCACATCAAATAAAAATAATTACAAAATAATTTATGAAAATTCAAAAGTTGAGTAATTAAAATGTAACATTTTTAAATTTTAATGATCAAGATAAGAGTGAGAAGATAATTGAGTGGAGAATGGTGTAGTTTACCTTAATTTTACTATAAAGATTATTTTTAACTAGGTATTTTATTAAAAAAAATTAATATACAAATAATTTGGGCATTTTTCCTGAAAAATCACCGGTGACCGGTATATTTACCGATCTAACACCGGTCAGATTATATTTCTCGATCTAACACCTGTAGCAGTAAAGCGCGCTCTCTGCCCCGCTATATGCTGATTTGACATCACGTGGGGTATAACGCGCCCCTTGTACCGTGCTATACGTTGACATGTGGGTATAGCGCGGCCCCTGATCCACGCTATAGCTGTTTATCTGATACGTGAGGTATAGCGCGGTACAGGGGGCGCGCTATACCTTTAATTACAACCTCCCTATAAATACCCCCATCCTCTATTACTTTCATCACACCATATTCTCTCAAATTCTCTCAAATACTCTCTCTATTTAAGGTATATCTTATAATATTTTTAATATTATGTATTTAATTTATTTAAGCATTTTTCTTTATTTAATATTTTACTAATATAATTTTTTTGCAGATATATAATGGAAGGTGGTCTACTTCGCTTGGATGGAAATCATATATCTCGACACTTTGCTGATACGATAACATTTTAACGTTTTAATTTGATTTAAATTATTTGTAATAATTTGTTGATTTATTTAATGCATGATTATTAGATTAAGAATTAATTGGTGTAATTATTTAATTTTAGGAGAAGGACTGTGTATTAGATCATTTTATTAGGAATCTTAAGTTAGTGATACCTAGCTGTGTCTTGCCGTATTTAGTAGAGGCTGGATTTGGTTACATAGGTAGATATCAGGGTCATTGTAAGATAGAACCAAACCTTATTTATGCCTTAGTAGAGCGGTGGAGGCCGGAGACCAACACATTCCATCTTCCGTGCGGAGAGTGCACGATTACACTTGAGGATGTTGCTATGCACCTAGGGCTTCCGGTGGATGGAGATGTGATATCAGGGATCTCGCAGGGTTCCTGGACTACTTTGTGCCAGGATAATCTAGGACGTGTCCCGGAAAGTTTTATCGGAGGTAGGATACCGTTAAATTGGTTAGATGCCAATTTTCGGGAGTTGAGCGCAAACGCCTCTGAGGATGAAGTTAAGATGTATGCACGGGCATGCATACTGCAGTTGATAGGAGGGTTGCTGATGCCAGACAAATCGCGCAACCTAGTTCACTGCATGTGGTTGCAACATCTTAGCAACTTTCGTCTGGCCGGATCATTCAGTTGGGGCTCGATAGTTTTGGCTTTGCTGTACAGGGAGATGTGTGGAGCCATTGACTACAGGCGTAATGCTATCGGTGGATGTCTCCTGCTGCTGCAGTCTTGGGCATGGTATCGATTGCCCTTTATATGTCCCGTTGTGAAGAACCCATTCGTATTTCCACTACTTCTGAGGTAATTATAAAACTTATTTTGTATATTAATAATTTTATACAGTGTATAATATTTTTTCCTTGAATAGGTGGTTTACTGGTAGGAAAAATCATCAGAAGACCGTTTCTGCTTCCCGATGATGCATGAGGGGAGACCTTTCCACGACGTCGACACAGACGTTCACCGACATAGCACCATCATCCCCCGACTCGTTGACAGAGAGCAGGTGCTTCCGGTTCATCCTCAGCTGCACCAGCAGGACCTTCACAGTAGCCACCGTAGCCATTTATGATGTCGCCGCCTTTCCATTACCAGATGCCGCCGCCTTCACCTGGTTTTATGACCCCACCGCCACCACCGTCACAGATGAGCCCTCCTGGAGGCTATTATGGGTTTATGTTTGTAGATTTAACTTAGGGGTTCATATGTTGGATATTTAGCGGGTTCAGCCTCATCACCCATGGTCGCAGCACAGACACATCCTGTACAGTTTCACATTCAGCGATGTCTGGGTTTTATGAGTTTTCTCAGTTTTGCAGGCCGGTGGGATAGTCAGTCATACACCTCCAGGGTCCTTATTCTATGGAGGTACTTCATCGCCATCAACTCCTTATCAACCTAATGTACATGCTCAGGACGACGACGACGACGACGGTGATGATGATGACAGCGAGGAGTCAGAACTAGTGATACGAAGAAATCTTCCTCGAGACCGACAGCCACTGCCCTGCGGAACACATTCGCTTCGCAGGCATCGATAGATTTTTTTATTATATTTGTATTTACTTTATTTTGTTAAATTTATTGGACTTTTTTTAATGTATTTCAGTTAATTTTGTTTATTACCATTTAATATCAGTTATTGTAATTTGGTTATCATTTACCATTTAATTCTTATTGTAAGTTTGTTATATTTAAAATTATATTCAAATACCAAATTGTTATTAGTTTGATAAAATTTAATGATTGTGTTCGTTTTTTTAATCTTCATCAGCGATTATCGAATGGCATTAACTTGAAGTAAATGTAAATCAAAGTACAAGAATTATTATTTGATAAACAAATACATCATTTCCTCATCAATTGTTACTTGATGGCAACATAAGTGGACATGTTTTTCTAGTGTGTCCTGGGTTTCTACAATGCCCACATCTTCTGTCTTGTCTAGATCTTTCTGAATATC